TCTATCTTGGGCTGAGAATCAGGGTGCTATAGAAATGCTCATAAGATTCTCTAGCCTACAGGGACTGTGAAGTATCGCTTGAAATCATTCTAAAGTCTTCACAAAGGTTCTTACAGCCTTTGATTTATTTTAACTCTGGGACTGTATTTTACTGTTGGCACCTTGGGCTTTTATCTTTGCCTTGTAATCATTTATGACACAGAAAATATTTTGCTGGCTGGTGAAGTTTGGAATAAAAAACAATACTTCAAAGACTATTCTAGATGTGTTATTAATTTATAGGAAGATATGCCCTCTACAAATTTTATCTTTCTCTCTAGACCCTCATAAAAATCTTTGAAAAATTAATACTACATTTTAAAGTAAATATAAGTTAAACATAGAAGTGATATCTATTTTGTGATTAAATGCATTATAAATATTTATTCAATGAAATACAGTACAATCATATCAAGCATTCATGAACATTTAACAAACAGCTGTTAATTTTTGAAGCAGAAAGAAACATGAATAAAAGTTCTGGTTGTACTTTCAAAGTGAAGGCTAATTACTTATTAGTTCAAGAAATACTTTGTTTGTCTTATATGAAAGTGATTCCAGCTAGTTTTCTGAAGAGAATTAAATAAAAATGCAAACACTTTTAAAAGAATATTTACCTTATTTGCCCTTCAGCACTAATAATAATGTTTATAATTTTATTATCAAGGTCAGTGGTTTCCTTAATGAAATGTATACCTTTGGCAATTCTGTAAGTAGAATCTAAATTATTGAATCAAATTTCCTAACTGTTGATGACTGCTGTTTCTTTTTTAATTCATCATATATTTTGGTATTTGATAACTACCCTGAATCTAAGAAAGAATTTGTTTTGTTGCCTTCAGGGCTTCTCAAGTCTAAGTGTAATGGATTCTAAAACAAAAATTAAGACAATTGTAGATTGCTTTCATTCTCAGAGAAGATTACCTAATCTTTTTTAAAGCCACTTATTATAGAGGATTTTTTTTTACAGTGATATATATTTCCATCTTTTTTTGTATTATTAAATGTTTGTTATTGTAACATTTTTTCCCTTCCGGTTTCTCAAACAAATGTTACACAAATATTTTGGAAACTCTAGAGAAACCTTTAACACTGTAATAAACAATAAATTTTTAATTTAAAGCACTTTATCCAGAGTAAAAGGAAGAAGGAAAGAAGGAAGAAAGGAAGGAGGGAGGAAAGAAGAAAAGAATGAAGAAAAGACTGACTGAAACAAGTGGCCCAGGGTTTTGTAATCTTAGGGAAAAGAATTTCCTTTTTTTCTTCCAAGATACATTTCCCTGAAAACATATTGTTTGTATTAAAAAAAATAGAAGTCTTTGTTACTTTTGGAAAATACTTCTGTAAAGTTAAAAAAGTTTTTCAAATTTATGTTTGGACACCTCAGTTTATTTTAACAATGGGAATTAAGAAGCTATTCAAAAATATATTAATATTACTTCTCAGATAAAATTAATATATAGAGACATTTAAAGCTGGTATCTTCAGAAGTCTAGGCTATCCTAGAGGAAAGGACAATGTGGCAAGTTTCTGGAGATACTACAAAGAAAGAAAAGCTAAAGAGGAAATAACTGGAATACTCCAGCCAATAGCAGAACCATGGCCCCAGACAAGTGAGAAAGGCCTTGAACTTTCTAGTTCAGCCTAGCCACTAGGTGAATGCAGCCATAAGAGCAACCCTAGCTAACATCACTTGAAACATCTATTGAAAATAGTTAAACAGGCTACCACATAGCCTCTATATCTAACACCCCAGTAGTTGACTGATATTTTTTATTGTCTAGTTAATAATTCTATTATATGAAAGTGGCCATACTTGATAGCCTTTATTATATACAAGGTTTGCCAATTTTTTGTTTTTCTCCCCAAGGTTGCTGACATTAGGTCTTTAAATGTAATGTACACATTAAAAATATTAGTAATAAGTAGTATATTGCTCATTGAGGTGGGCTTGCAAATTGCTATAAATTAACTTTTTTATTCATATATAAGTAATAATAAGAAATATCTGGTATTTCAAATTTTAGCTCCCACAAAAAGCACGACATTGAGAATGTGTGTGTGTATATATTATATAATGATATATATAAACACGTTTTATATATATCATTCTAATTATGGGTTGGTGAACAACTAACTATAATTATGTGATAAATCTATGAGTCTTTTAGGGGCAAGCGAATCTGGATAAAAAGCTGTTCCTTTTTCTACCTTCATACATTAAGATCTCTTTCTCCAGATCTTGATCCATAAACTATCAGTCTCTTGAGTTTTAAGCACGAGCATACTCTTCATACAAACAGATTTCCCTGCTTTTATACAAAACCCTTTATTGTTCCAAAGCAAGCATCTACATGGCTTAATACATTAGTTATTTCTCCCAGCCTTCCCAGGCCATTCTCCATTCTGGGAACAGTTACCATTTATTACCAGTCCCTTTTTAAAAAATGTCTTCTTTGAATTGATAATCTGTGACCACCAGTTATTTTTTAAATTTCTTTTTTTTAAATTGACAAATTAACTTGTATATATTTGTGGTGTACAATGGTTGTTTTGAAATAATATACATTGTGGAATGGCTACATTGAGCTAATTAACATATGTATTACCTCAAATATGGATTTATTTTTAATGGTGAAAATACTTAAAATCTACCTTCATAGTAATTTTTAAGATACATCATTAGTAACTATAGTCATCATGTTGTACAATAAATCTCTTGAACTTATTTCTCCTCAGTGAATTTTGTATTCTGTGACTGATGTCTCCCCCTAACCCCCAACCCAGCCTCTGGTAACCCCCATTCTATTCTCGACTTCTATAAATTCAACTTTTTTAGATTTCACATATAAATGAGATCATGCTGTATTTGCCTTTCTGTGCCTGGGCTTATTTCACTTAACATAATACCCTTCAGGTTCATCCATGTTGTCACAAATGACAAAATTTACTTCTTTTTAAAGGCAAAATAATATTGCATTGTGTATGCAATATTCTTTATCCATTCATCTGTTGATGGACACTTAAGTTGATTCCCTATCTTTTGTATTGTGAATAATTATGCAATGAACATAGGAGTGCACCTATTTTTTCCAACATACTGATTTCATTTTCTTTGGCTTTATGCCCAGTAGTGGGATAGTTGGAATATATAGTAGATCTGTTCCCAAATGTTAGTTGTGGGTTTGTCAAATATGGCCTTTATTGTGTTGAGGGACATTTCTTTTATAACTAATTGTTGGGAGGTTTTATCAAGAAAGAATGTTGATTTTTGTCAAATGGTTTTTCTGCATCTGTTGAGATGATCATATGGTTTTTGTCCTTTATTCTGTTAATGTGATGTATCACAGTTATAGATTTCTGTATGTTGAACCATCCTTATATCCCTGGGATAAATTGCACTTGGTCATGGTGAGTGATCCTTTTAATGTGCTGTTGAATTTGGTTTTCTTGTATTTAGTTGAGCATTTTTGTTTCTATCTTCATCAGGGATACTGACCTGTAATTTTTTTTTCTTATAGTGTCTTTGTCTGGCTTTGAAAAATATTCCTTCTTTGGTTTTTTTGGAAGCATTTGAAAAGGATTGGTATTAGTTCTTCTTTTAATGTTTGGTAGAATTCACCAGTGAACCCATCAGATCCTGGACCTTTCCTTGATGGGAGACTTTTTATTACTGACTCAATCTCCTTACATGTTATTGGTCTATTCAGACTTTCTGTTTTTTCAAGTTTCAGCATTAGGTTGTATGTGTCTAGGAATTCATTTCCTCTAGATCATTCAATTTGTTGTCATGTAATCATTCATAGTAGTCATGTATGATCCTTTGTATTTCTGTGGTATCGGTTGTACTGTCTCCTCTTTCATTTCTGATTGATATGATTCTTCTTTCTTTATTTTTATTTAGTCTAGTTAAAGATTTGTCAATTTTATCTTTTCTTAAAAACCAACTTAGTTATATTGATTAGTTGTATTGTACTGATCCTCTTTATTGTTTTTCTAGTCTCTATTTCAGTTATCTCTGCTGTATCTTTATTATTTCCTTCATTCTGCTAACTTTGGGCTTTCTTTGTTCTTGTTTTTCTAGTTACTTGAGGTATAACTTTAGGTTACTTATTTGAGATTACTTCTTTTTTGATATAGATATTGATTGCTATAAACTTTCCTCTTTGAACTACTTTTGCTGCATCCTGTAAGCTTTGGTATGTTATGTTTCCATTTTTGTTTCAAAATTTTTTAAATTTCTCTTTTAATTTTTTCATTGACCCATTAGTTGTTCAGGAGCATGTTGTTTAATTTCCATTCATTTATGCATTTTCCAAAATTCCTCCTGTTATTGGTTCTAGTTTCATACCATTGTGGTCAGAAAAGATACTTGATATGATTTCAATCTCTATAAACTTGGTAAGCCTTGTTTTGTGGCCTAACGTATGATCTATACTGGAGAATGTTCCCCATGTGCTTGAGAAGAATGTGTATTATGTTGCTGTTGGATGGAATGTTCTGTATATGTCTGTTAGGTCCATTCGGTTTAAAGGATAGTTAAGTCCAATGTTTCTTCATTGATTTTCTGTCTGAATAATCTATCCATTAGTGAAAGTGGGGTGTTGAAGTCTATTACTTTTATTATATTATAGTCTATTTTTCCCTACAGATGTATTAATATTTCCTTTATATATATATAGGTGCTCCAATGTTGAGTGCACATATATTTACATTTGTTATATCCCCTGATGAAGTGACCCCTTTATCATTATATAATTACCTTCTTTCTGTCTCATTTTACAGTTTTTACCTTGTAGTCTATTTTATTTGATATAAGTATAGCAACTCCTGCTCTCTGTTTCCCTTTGCATGGAATATATTTTTTCATTCCTTCGCCTTCAGTCTATGTGTGTACTGATAAGTAAAGTGAATCTTTCTTGTAGGCAGCATATAGTTGGGTTATTCATTCAGCTATTCTGTGTCTTTTGATTGAGAACTTAATACATGTACATTCAATGTATTTATTAATATGTAAGGACTTACTACTACCATTTTAAAAATTGTTTTCTGGCTAATTTTGCTGAACATTTGTTCCTTTCTTCTTCTTTTTCTGTTCTTGATTAAGTGATTTCTCTATGCTTTGACTTCTTTCTGTTTATCTTTTGTGTGTGTACAAGGTCATTGTTGTGTGATTACCATGAGGCTTGAGGCTTAAAAATCTTGTAATTATAACAGGCTATTTTAAGCTGAAAAAAACTTAACTTCGATCACAGAAAAAAACCTCTACATTGTTGTTTCATTCCCCTTGGTGCATTTAACATTTTTGGTGTCATAATCTACATTTTTTTAATTGTGTATCATTTAGCTAACTATTATAGCTATTATAATTTTTAATAGTTTTGTCTGTTAGGCTGTTAGGCTTAATACTAAAGATAGAAATGATTTACAAACCACCATTACTGCATTGAAGAATTCTGAATTTGATTGTTTACTTACTTTTACCAGTGAATTTTATGCTTTCATATATTTTCATGTTACTAATTAGCATCTTTTTCTTTCAACTTGAGGAACTCCTTTTAGTATTTTCTATAAGACAGGTCTAGTGATGATGAACTCCCTTAGCTTTTGTTTTTTCTGGAAAAATTTTTATCTTTCCTACATTTCTCATTTCTGAAAGACAATATTTCCAGGTATGGTATTCTTGGTTGAAGGAATGTATACAATATAAACTTTTAACACTATAAATTTCCTTCTGGGCATTGCTATAGCATTGCTATAGCTGCAGCCCACAAATTTTGATATGTTGTATTTTCATTTCAAATCAGCTCTACATAATTTCCAATTTCTTTTGAAACTTCTCCTTTGACTCATGGATTATGTAAAAGTATGTCATTTAATTTCCAAATATTTGGAGATTTTTCAGAGTTTTTGCTATTATTTCCTAATTTAATTCCTATTTGATTGCAAAATATACTTTATATGATTTAAATTATTTTTAATTTGTTATGATTTGCATTATGGTTCAGACTATGATGTCCCTGAGCCTCGTTGGACAGGCACAGAGATGCTTCTGGAAGCAACACTGCGAAGGCCACCCAAGGAGAGCCTCAGGTCTAGTTCTAACTTGTATTGGTTGGTGATGGTGGTATGGAAAAAAACTACATTCGTGAAACATCATTTGGTGAATTTGAGAAGAAATATGTAGCCACCTTAAGTGTTGAGGTCCATGTCCTCGTGCTCCATTATCAACAGAGGACCCATTAAGTTCAACATATGGGATAGAGCTGGCCAGGGGAAATTTGTTGGACTGAGAGATGGCTTTTATGTCCAAGTCCAGTGTGCCATTATAATGTTTGATGTAACATCAAGAGTTACTTACAAGAATGTGCATAACTGGCATAGAGATCTGGTACGAGTATGTGAAAACATCCTCATTGTGTTGTGTGGCAACAAAGTGGATATTAAGGACAGGAACGTGAAGGCAAAATCAGTTGTCTTCCACCAAAAGAAGAATGTTCAGTAGTATGACATTTCTGCCAAAAGTAACTACAACTTTGAAAAGCTCTTCCTCTGGCTTGCTAGAAAGCTCATTGGAGACCCTAACTTGGAATTGCCATGCCTGCTCTTGCCCCACCAGAAGTTGTCATGGACCCAGCTTTGGCAGCACAGTATGAGCATGACTTAGAGGCTGCTCAGACAACTGCTCTCCCAAATGAGGATGATGACCTGTGAAAATGAAGTTGGAGCCCAGTGTCAGAAGTCTAGTTTTATAGGCTGTCCTGTGATGTCAGTGGTGCAGTGTGTGTGCCACTTTATTATTTAGCTAAGCGGAAAATGTGCTTCATCTGTGGGATGCTGAAGGAGATGAATGGGCTTCATAGTGAATGTGGCAGTTTAAAAAATACCTTCATTGTTTGGATCTGCATATTTAGCTGTTTTGGAGCGCAGTTGATTCTCCTTGAGTTTCAAATATAAGAGTGCTAATAGGCACTTCACAATATTCAGTGGTGAAATCTTGTTTGTTAACTGTCACTCCCATTCCTTTTTGTTTAGAATCAGAATAAAGTTGTATTTCAAATATCTTAAAAAAATAATATGATGTATCGTCATGAATATCCATGTGCACTTAAAAATGTATATTATCTTGTTTGGAGTTTCTTTTAAGTGTTAATTAGCTCAAACTGGTTGATAGTATTGTTCAGGTATTCTCTAATCAGAAGGGGACTTAGGATATAGTGGGCTTATTCCATGTTGACCAGCAGAAGTTTAAGTTTGTTTTTCAACCCAGATTTTTCTGACTGCAAAGTTGATATTCTTTCCATTGAAGCATTAAAAACTTCTAAAAGCTTTAACCCCCGCCTCCCCAACCAGGTATTGTGTAACATAATTCTTGATCCTAAATTTACATTTATGCTGCAAGTTAATTTTATTTTTTGCTTAAAGAGAAAAAGTCAAAACCTACTTGGGAAATGTAGGTTCTCTTTGTTTTTTGCAAATAGACTTCAAATATTTTATTTCATTCCTCTTGCAATATATTTCCTAATATATTGCAATATATTTCCTAATATATTCAATTTTCAAAGGCATGCCCTTCTGATTAATAGCTTTGGAGTCAAAGGGCTACTTCTCTTTATCTATAGAGGGAACAACTGAGGCATAATGAGGAAAGAAATACCTTAAAATACTGCATTAGGTATCAGATTTGAGCTTTTATTTCCTTTTGGCTGACCACTTCTCCATGCTTTCTTCTACTCCTCATGAATCAGAGGAGTAGGTTAGAGCAGTGTTCCTCAGTATAAAACAAGACAAAACAAAAAACCACCACCTACATTCCCTGTCACAAATAAAAGTATTCCACACACTCCTTCTGTTATATTTCAATTTTCTAAATGAATAAAACATTTTTGACAAAAATATTTTAAAAAGTCATTTTAGATTGTTTTAGAATTCCTCATGTCCTTCTCTCCTGAATTTCATATATACTCCCTAAGTATGAGAGTATATATAAGAGTATATACTCTCATACTTAGGGAGTATATATGAAACATGACACCTCACGTTGGAAATGCAAATCATTTCTCACCATTAGATTCATCTATACCTTTCCCTCTGGGGATCTTTTGACAATCTTCTTGTTCTCCTCAAAGTCTTCTCCACCCTAACTGGTCAGACTGTGGCTTATCTGTATGTTCAGAAATGGAGCAGGCTCCACCACCATAAATGATTCCCTCCTTTTCCCCTATAAACCCATGCCTTCCAGAAGAGATCAGACCACAAACCCAACCCATGCAGAACTGTGCAGAGGTATCATCTATGTTACAACCCATGAGAACAGCTAGTGACAGGTCAGAGATGGTTGGCTAAAAGCTGAAGGCAAAGCAAGCTCTCCAGGGAAGGATAGGCATCACCAGGAGGCTGCTAGTAATGACAAATTTCCTTCTTTACTGTTTATTATGGTAGTGAAACCATATCTAGCTGTGCTACCAACTCTGCCATCATTTAGCAGAGCCAGAAAAAAAGACTACCAGACACTTCTATTCTTTATCAGGTGCTTTCTCCAAGATACTTATAATAATGGAAAAAATTAACATGATGTTATTTCAATTGGTTGTATATTAACCCCTTATTCGTTCTCTAAGTTGTTTTTGGAGCTTGAGCATATAGGCTATTGGGTGATACTTTTAAGGATTTGTCCTAAAATTTCTATGGTGTTACATAAAATATAAGAAAGGGCTAGAGGGATATGAAGGAAGAAAGGCAGTAATAAAAACAGAAGAGAGGGAGGTGACTGAGAGAATGGGTGAGGGAAAGAGTGTGTGTGAGACTAAAGGCTACTGTGTTTCCCCGAAAATAAAACCTACCCATAAAATAAGCCCTAGCAGGATTTCTAAGCATTTGCACAATACAAGCCCTATCCTGAAAATAAGACCTAGTGATGGGTGTGGCTACGCAGCGTATCTGCACAACTCATGCATTTCATCACGGAGCAGTAAAAAAGATGAGCAGCCCTTCTCATCTTCCCCATGAGAGCTCTAGTCCTCCACATGAGAGACTGGGGCCAATGGTTCTCGCAAGAAATTCAGGATGGAATTCTGGGTTTGGAGAGTTATGATGATCTTATGAAGAAGACGACTTAACTATATTTGAATAAATGTAGATTGTTGTATTGTACTTAAAAAAAAATAACACATCCCCTGAAAATAAGCCCTAGGGTGTCTTCTTGAGGAAAAATAAATATAAGACCCTGTCTTATTTTTAGGGAAACACGGTAGTTATATTTTAACTCTGAGAACATAAATTTTAAATTGATCTTCTTACCTTCTTTGTCATTATCCTCTAATTTAGCTGCTTCTCCTATGCCAGAGTTAATTCTTAAACTGCAATTTTAACTGTATTGGTCCTTTGATTTGAAGGAGGAAGTCCCTTTATGATCTGACTTAAAACTTCTTTAGCCTCATCAACTGCCTCTCTTTATCTTATGCTTAGATAATTTTCCTCTACTTTGAGTTTCTGAAGAATAGGCTTTGTCATTCCTCTGTATCTTTGCATCTTCTTTTGGCCTGGCATGTATGGTTTTCTTCTCTGCTGGCTAATTATCCTGCAATACCTTGTGATGTCTTCCTTGACCATGCCTGCAGTGAGAGTTAATCATTTCTTCTTTGGCAAAACATTGTGCATGGTACTTTCATTATAATGAGCAACTGTTATATGGTTGTTAGTGATTTTGCATTTGTTTTGTTTTCCTACTGATCTGTGAACTCTGTGTGGGCTGGGTCAATGTCTTATTTGTCATTTTGTCATCTGTATCTAACACTGTGTTCGATACAGTGCAGGCTCTTAGAGAATATTGTTTGATCTAAATCAAATGGTTCATATAATAACAAGAAGTCACCATCCAGTCTTTCACTTTGTAGACTCTTATGTCGAATACACTGCTGTGTTGTGGCTAACATGATATGTAATTTATTTGTTCTAGGCGGAAAAAAAGGTTTTTTTAGGCAGCTAGCTGGATAAAGCAATCATCTCTCTTTTTCCATTTGGATAAGGGTATCCCAGAGGAAAATGTAATGAACAGAAGACTTACATCAAGTCTTTTATATTTAGGGGGAAAAAGGATTTGTAAATTTTTTCACAAGCTAGTTAGAAAAACCAAGTATCACATTGCCCCTGTGCAATGTGATACTTCTGAAAATAATGCCCAGAGGAATAGCAGTTCTAGAGAATACTAAATCCAAGTGTGGCTAGATTCCATCTTCATTTTGGAAACAGCCACAGCTGTGGCCAGCCCAGCAGAGGATGGAATGTAGTTGAGGATTTGATATGGGGGGAAAAGGGGGAAACTAGATTTTCTGCCCCAAGGCAGTGATACATAGACCCGAGTCCCTCCCCTGCCTCCACCTTCTGTCTCCAACTCCTTTGTCACCACCTAGGAAATATATTGGTGATCTTGGCAAGATCTGGCATTTGGATTCTATTTGTGTTCTTGGAATATTGTGGTAAAGGGTTTTAAAAAAATCTAAGATGACAATATTATTAAATAGATTATACATCTCTAACTTTCACCAAGTATGGACAAATACCAAGTTAAGCCACAGAGAAATGCTTTTTTTAAAAAAATTTTCTATAAATGGTATTTTGCAATTTATCCAAGACAAAAGAAACATGATAGTTCCAACTTCATTAAGCTGTTCCTTTCCCAAAAATATTACAGTACGAGATCATGTGTTTGCTGGAAATGACACATTAGTCTTAACCAACAATATTTTAAGGAGAATAAAATTTCCAGTCCTATCATCTGCATCTGTCCTTGTACTCTACCAACTTCTCCCCTGTCCTATATTAAATCATCAAGAAGCACATTTGACAAAAAAATGAGTATCTAATCTGTAACAGTTTAAGAACTATTAGCAACTGCATGGACATAGCATGTCTTTAACTGGTAGTTTAAGAGCTATCAGTAAAACTAACCTGTGCCTGTGGAAGTCAGGGTAGTGGTTACCTTTGGGAGGAAGTAATGGAAGGAGACACAAAGAGGGTTTCTGGGGTATTGCTTATTTCTCAATCTGGTGCTGATTACATGAATGTGTTCAATTTGTGAAAAATATTAATAATTGAGCTATATCCTTATGGTTTGTATACTTTTCTGTATGCGTTATATATTTTGCTTCAACAAAAGTAAACAATAATTATATGGTTATGATAATGTATCAGGCTTGTGTTGCTTCAGAACACCGGCTTATGTCTTCAGCTAGCACAAAGACTATAAAAAGACCAGTGAAGATACCTAGTAGAAGTATGTGAAATATACCTTTTATTAAGAGGCCATTTGTTCACTTTGGAGATATGATTAACCTGCCTTTTAAAAAGAGGAGACTAAGGTACATACTTATTTAATAATCTGTTCAAGATAATAGAGACAGTCAGTGGTGATGCTAGGATCTGAACCCAGGTCTGTTGGTTCCTGATGTAGAATTTCCACTTCATACAAGTAATTATGATGCACCCAGGTCAACAACCACTGTGTCGAGTTCCCTCTTTTTGACATCAAATCAAGAAAAATACTATGATTATTGAGATAACTCCATTTGGACTTCGTTGACCTTGATCAAAGCCTTCATGATTAAACTCCTTTCCCTTACTAATCTTGCCTAACCTTCTACCCAGGAAATAATACCCATCTCTCTCTCCTGTAGTCTCCTTCAGGCAGAAAAGCGTGATATTTCTCAGCTTTCCTCAAATGGCAGACAAAATTGACAGGTCTGTGAGAGGAATTGTGGATTAAAGAGGGTGGGGGCGTTTTCCGGGGTACTCCCATTGTAAATTTTCGGTTCCTATGTGAGAACCCAACAGTGGATTCCCAAAGGGAGGTGATGGGATGGGGGTCAGGGGGCAGATGTGGTAGGGGACAGCTACAGGAGCAGTCTGCCCTGGGTGCAGGCAATAAGAAGATGCATTTGCTGTTGGCGGAAGGTTGAAATCATAGTGCTATCTGGCACATAATCTATCTGTGTGTAATAGGGACCTTATGAATGAAGAAAAAGAAGATGAGGATAAGGGGAGATCTGTCACCAGGAAGGAAGAGG